TTAAAAATTAAAAAAAAGATTTTCAATTCACCAATGATTTTTTAAAATAAAGAAATTATTTACCTTTCGCACATAGTCAATCACTGTACACACACCCACACACATCAGGTGTGTAACAAAACATAATGGTCGCCGCCCACAGTAAACACTCAGAGCACGACTACATGACCAATCACAAGCTGAGCAGTACCACAAGCTGAGCAGCGCCATTACAACCAGCATGGATGAATTATGCATGCATCAGACTCAACACACAAGAAACCCACACACACCATTTTAATGATTTTTCTGCCAACCTGCAGAAAAACCTTGCTCGACAAGGCAATTCAAGCCCACAGAGACCAAATATCAAATTTTCAAAAGTTACTTTTAAAATTGATAATAGGTATGAAAGCTGATTGGATGCCTTTGGGCCAATCACTATCTCTCAACCCAACCCAACTCACAGGGCTGTTGTGCAGAAAATAGGAAGAATAATTACTATTAGGTATGTTCATTACCTTAAGTTATTTATAATAATAATAAAAGGATACAAATAAATAAATAAGGAAATAATAACTAAATAAATAATTAGGGAAATTTGAAAATGAGAAATGAAACTAAGACAACCAATGGTAGCTACAGCATCACATCTATGATTCTTCAGCTAAATAAACATAATGTCTAAACGTGCTCAGAAAAATGCAATGGCTACTTTGCATAGAATAACTATCATTTTTTGTTTGCATGAATGGCTCAGAAGATGAGGTTGTATGCAAGCTATCTCAGGGCTCTTCTTCACTTCTTAAGCTATTTTTATCCTTTGTTTCTGTGATAAGCATTTTTGGAATCCCTAGGGATTCATCCATTCTTCATAAATCTTGTATGTGAGATGAATACTATATGCTACTGTCTTACTAATGGTATTTTCTCCAGTTTTGGGGAAAAGTTCAATTCTGGAAACTGGCATATATCAAGAAGTCAGTTGTCATCTTCAGGTGTCCTTGCTAGGAGTAATAATTATCTCTGCTGTTATTCTTCTTGATGTTTGTTGTACTATAATTGGTTCCCAATATAATCAGGGTTATCCTTATCTCCTTAGCAGTTCTGTTTGGTCTTTTTCTTTTCTAGCCAGAAGCAGTGCTAATTTTCTTCACACAGGCTCACTTATCTTTATGTCATAGAAATTCTATATATAATATATCCTTCTATGGCAGGGGTGGGGAACAATGGCTATTTTATGACTTGTGGACTTCAACTTTCAGAATTCCTGAGCCAGCTACAAAGAATGATTTCCAGAAAGGAGTGTCAGTCTTCTTTCATTTCATTTTCTCTTAAATAAGATTCTCCAAAGTCTTGCACTATTATTTACAGAAGATGGAAGGGCACAATGTTGTTTCTGAATACCCCTATGCATCCATTTTTGTTTTATTTATTATATATTAGATATATATCATTCTTTGCCTCTAGGAGCACATAGCAGTTCATCTATTTTTTTCTCCAAACAACAACCTTGTGAGTAAGCTGAGCTGAAAAATAGTGACTGGCCCATTTATCCCATGAGTTTCCATGCTTGAAGGTAGACTTCAACTTGGGTCTCCTTGGTTGTAGGCCCGCTATATTAACTGCTCCATAATGCTGGCTGTGTTATATTGTGCCATTTAAATACCCCGTTCAATAATTCATTCATGACAAAGACTGATTCATAAATCTAACTAGAAATATTATACAACAACTCATAAATCCCCACTAGTGTGTATTAAAAACTGTAAAATATAAAGCCCTTTATATTTTACTGAATGGCTTTTCCAACAGTATTTTCTTATTTGCCTCCACAGTGCCAAAAAGCACTTAGGTTCACTCTGCTATTTTTCTCTGTTCCAATATTTAGGAAATAAATAATGTTATTATTGACACAGTATATTAAGCTGGAGGATCTCAAGAGTCAAACTTTTTAAAGTTTAAATAAGTGCTACACACACAAAGTGTACACCCTGCAGGTATGGTCTGAAACTTTTAGGAGTTCCCATAAGAAATGCATTCTAAGGAGCTGAAGTCCACTTAGCCATGAAAAAGTACCTCAAGCTGCACTCATTTAAACTATCTTTGAATACATAACCAAACACCCATACTGAACTTAGAATGCAGCAACATGTCATATTCTTTTGCTCCTGGTTCAACCTTTGAGCATATTAGATTGGGGGAAAAGTGTTTTGAGAAGGCTTCCCAATCCCTTTTCTAGTGTAATCTTTGTGTTGCTGTGTGCAGTTCACATTGATTTATGCTCTCTGGTTTCCATTCAGACATATAGCAATACCAGTTATCAATCGTTTTCCATCTGGTGCAGTTAATAACACTGTAGTAGCAATTTTTAAAGAGCAAGCAGTCATAATAACAGTTATGATACTTTTGTTTTCCAAAAATGCACAACTCATCACATTACAGTAAAAAAAACTGAGCTTACTTCTGCATCTTATATGCTTATATTTTTAAAATTTTCTAATGCATAGTAATGATCTGGAATGTATAGTTTGTGAACAGAAGGCTGATATTATGTGTCTAGTTCTATGTTTATTATTCTTATTAATACTTATATTATACTTATCAATAAGATGACAATATCCGAGGCTGATTTAGGGCATTAGTGTAGAGCAGGGGTGTTAAACTGCCGGCCTGCGGGCCAGATGCGTCATGCCGAAACCGCCCCCCCCCCCATTGCCAGCAATGGAAAAAAAGTGACGATATGTCATGACACATCATGTGATGTTGCGAGTTTGACAGCCGTGGTGTAGAGTGAAGGTGTGAACTATGTTTATTTCCTATATTTCAAAAATAATTTCTAGGGATTCTTTTGCCAATTATTTTTCTTAAATGCCTCTTACATTTTGAAGGCCACACAACACAAAATAAAAGGAAGTATTTGAACGTGAAAAAGCATTCACATCATGAGCTATTAACCAAGAATAATCCCTATTCTAATTTTGGGAATCCAGATTAAAATATTTCCACATTGGAAAGACTTGGTCATAACAAAATAAAACATACTTAAATGTTAAAGCTATACTTTTCCTTTCTTGTAACATGACTATGCTTTCATCCAAACAATGTTTTTGGTCAGTTATGATTATATAATCCCTTTTTATTCCATTTCTAAACAAAAGTGGATGTAGAAAATGACTATGCTGAGCCCAAGGGAGGGGTCAAATGCATTATCAGTTATGAGTCCCTTTGCACCCACAAGAGATCTAAATACAGCCTACCTTGAATTCCTTAACTCCCACTGTTCCCTAAACTTCAGATTAAGTTTGCAATAAATTTTTACTCTCATTTGAATTGCCTGAATGTCCCGAATTCCCCACGGAGTGTTTTAACTTATTGGAAACTGAGATTATTTTTTTTTAAATTTGCAAGTTTGTGTCCAAGCATATCATACTAATAGTTTGGTGACAATTATACTGCCATGTTTATGAGAGTAGAAAATGTGAAACAACAATAAATGTTATAATATAATCATATCTAAGTTAGACATCAGAATTACTTAAAATTGAATGCCTTCTGAGTATCAAATAAAAGTGTTTCAGGGTCTTCCTCTTAATAGTACTTAGTAGCAGTACTTAGACTTATATACCTTTTTATAGTGCTTTACAGCCTTCTCTAAGTGGTTTACAGAGTCAGCATATTGCCCCCCAAAATCTGGGTCCTCATTTTATTGACCTCTGAAGAATGGAATGCTGAGTCAACCTTGAGCTGGTAAGAATCGAACTGCTGAACTGCAAGCAGCAGACAGTCAGCAAAAGTAGCCTGCAGTACTGCATTCTAACCACTATGCCACCACGGCTCATTAAACATATTTTGTTTATAGAGAGGGAAATCTGTAAGTTTGTGTTAAAGCAAAATCATTTTATGATTTTAGCATATTTAGGAATAATGCAATCAATGCCAGTAATATTTTTAATACGTTGCAAGGTGTATATGTTATGTTTTGTTTTCACTATTGTAAGAGCTGACCCCCTTGAAAAGCCTTAAGATTTTAGTATCAATTTAAAAAGCATAATATGGATAATATATCATATGAAACTATGAAATAATATTATGTGCACATAGGAAGTCTGTATATTTTTAACTTTCTCTATATGGTAAAATTGTGGTCTTAAAGATTATTGATGGAATCACTTATGTAGATTTAAAAAAACTGAAGCTATTTATAAAACTGTTTTACAGTATAAACAGAACTATGCTTCTCTGTTATTTTTTTCATTTCAATGTAAATATGAAGGTAATTTTACACATAACACGGTCTGTTTTTAAAGTTAGGCCTCATAGGCCAACCACAACATTTTATTAAGTTTATTAACATTTTTTCAGAGAAATGTTTTCAGAGAAACCAATCTAAATGTTTAATGTCTTTATATAATAAAATGTCTATGGGAACTGACCTTTTGTATACCCTATCTCTCTGTGTGTATATTTACAGAGACACACAAATATGTCACTGAGAGGGGAGACTCAGGTTCTAGTCCCCTCTTAGGCATAGAAGGCTATCATCACTTTGGGCCAATCATTTTGGCCCAGTCATTCTGGCTCCAAGTTGAAAACTTCTCCCTTACATTTTGCTAGATTATGGCCCATAACCTTCATTGAAGAGGTTTTCATCTTACTGTGGATCTATTTGGTTGAATAATAATAATACATTCATAGAACTGTATTTCTATAACTCTAACCCAATGGTGTAACCAAGTAACAAAGAATACAGTGTAAACTATTTAAAAAGAAATTGCTAAACAATTAATAGACTATTATTTGTTAACAATTATGGAAGTCTTGCGTAAAACCAACTTTACCCAGTTTCTAATAAAATGATTTCAGGATCAGACACTACTGGATGCAGAAACATTTCTTTAGTTTTTCTTTCCCTACTCTAGTGGGGAAAAGAAGTGACAAGTGAAACAAGAAGTCAATGAAAAAGTAATATACAGTATATGGATAATATGGATTCAATATATACTTTTTCTTATTTTTAGGAATGCTGCTGAGGAGAACAAAAAGTTATATGCAATCTATGGGGCAAAGTGAGTACTAAAAACTGTTTCCTATCTGTAGTGGTCTCTATAAGGCCTTTTACATTTATGTTGCTACCTGTATAATCTTAGATGACTACATAAATGGAAACTGCTCTATATATGCAATGTAATAGCAACTTGAATGGTCATGTCCTAGCCAATGGAAGAAAAATAAGCCACCATAAAACCAGGAATTGTCAGGTGCAAAGAATCAGGACCACAAGTTAAATTTCGGTTAAAAAGATTTATTGCTCATGCCTATATATAAGAATATAATCAACTAATGGTCAGCACTATATTGGTGCTAGATAAGAGTCGATGGAATTCAAGGGGAGGAGCTGGACTTGGATTGTTTGTGGGAGCATAATTACACCAGACTGATTCCTCCCTTGTCTCCACACCCTAGGTGCTGCTGCTTCTTGTTCTATAGGAATGTATTTTACATCCTATAGGATTTCTCTGTATCTACAAATATTTTCATATTTTATTTACAAATAATACTGATATAATAATATTTATAAATAATAATATTTGTAATGATGTTTGCAAACAAAGGAAAAATTCCTTTACTAACTCAGAAATATGGTATTTGTGAACATTTACTGAGACTCAACTCACAATACTCATGTTTGTTTTAATTGAAATGTTAGGTTCCACAAAAACTATTTTGATTTGTTTTATAGAAGTGTTATGACAACTGCCAGTTCACAGCTAACTAAAATCCTGAATTATTCTATTAAAGATTTCTGTGTGTACCTTAGGTAAATCATGCCTTAATTATGTCTTGTGGTGGGCTCATTTTGACGTTCTTCTGCAGCTGAGACATAAAGAGAGTGATGTGTAAAGATCTATCCATTTTTAAAATAATATTACATATTTATTTACAACATTTATGTAGCCTCTCATGATGATAATGAGTAATTATAAAAGTAACACATTTTTTTTTGGGAAGAAGGTTACAGTTTATTGCAGAGAGATGGTTCTTCAGGAAAGAGCAGAGGAGAGAAGGGCTGAGCACATAGTGTAGTAGGTTTTTATACTCCCTCCAGCCTTTTGTTTGGAATAGTTTCCTGTATCTAACTCTCATTCCAAAAAAGATTTCCAGACCTGTTTATATTAATAAATTCTGCCTGTCTCTATTCATAAGTTTATAATCTAGGAAGTACCTACAAAAAGAAAAAGAGATGTATATAGGAACTGGAAATCAGTTCTTAAAATACTTTATGTGGCTTTATGTAATGAATAGCTCTGTACAGTTCAAAGATACAAAGAGCCTAATACAGATGTCCTTTCAGCAGAGCTGAAAAAAAGTTGTATTTTCCATTTCATCTTCCTCTTCATATCCAGCACCTTTTTGCTTAAAATATGAGCTGTTTATCTTCCATGAGCAAACATATTGTTTTGTCTCATAAAAGAAAGCCCTGATTGGTGAATAGAATAGTTGTGAATAGAACATAGAGAAAAAGGGTTAACGCCTATCCTTTTCTTCACCCACCTTTCTGCCACTTTTTTTTACTTCAAACTAAAAATGTGTTTAATATGTCAAGGAAAGAAAGAAGCACACCAGTACATATTGTTTCTTGCTTAGTACTCAAAATGATCCATTTAAAAAAATAAGTAATCCAAATGTATGGCTATTTATAGAAGATGACATTTTCTTTCTTGAAGGCTCCTCCCTGACTAATAAGGACACATCCAGTTGCTTGTAAAATATAGGGCACCTAAAGAATTAAAATATCTGTGTGTGTGTGTGTGTGTGTGTGTGTGTGTGAGAGAGAGAGAGAGAGAGAGAGAGAGAGAGAGAGAGAGAGAGAGAGGAGAATGTGTTGGCTCTAATTACATATGTCTTTTATTTGTGCCACAAACTGCATATTCAGGCACTGCTTTACAGCAATATTCCATGTAGTGTTCTATGTATTTATGCCTTGATATTTGAACTGTCCTACCATGCATTCAATAGGTAGCCTGCAGTGGAAACTTTCATGTGCACAATCATAAGATAATCAGTGACAATTATGTAAATCATTAATTTTAAAACTCTGAGAAGCAAACAAAATGCTTGTCAATAAGCATGACATTACCATAAACAACAAAGATGTGAAATAATGAAATACAGATTTAATCCTGGTCAACAGTACTATAAAAAAGAGCTGATGAAGTTGGGCCAACTTGTCAATTGCAGTATGGACTCTCTCACTCATACTTAATTTTATTTTGCAAGACTTGTGATATATCAGATTTACCACAAGTTAAAAAAATAATAAATTGTGATTTGCCGTGCTTTTAAAGTGATCTGCCAGAAATTCTCTTAACCCACATGGTAGGTTTACTCCATTTTCTCAGCCTATACATCAGTACTAAAAAGTAGTCTGAATTCTTAGGATTTCAGAGTAGATGAATGAGTGGGTATCAGATTTGTCTAAGTCCCTTCCAATTTAACCATAATACAAAAAGTAGCATTCACAAAGCAATTTCTGATAAACTCAGATTGATTTAAAAATGAACAGAATCACACGTCTTAAAGGAAATGACAAACATGTGGAAATGATCCTCACTTAAAAGGATTGCATGTGGCTTTCATTTCTTACAATATCAATTCCTGTCATCATGATAAATAAATTGTACAAATGCATGCCATGCTGTCAACTATTTATCTCATTATGGCAGACATGAAGAATTATCTGGACCATATGCTTAGCCATCCTGCAGAGCTTTGTGAACTGTTCTTTCTATAGACCCTAACATAGACTCTCTCTTCTAAAGCCATATATCTGTCTCTCCACTTCTTTTTTTACAGTACAGTCCTGAGCCATTGCCCCTTCTCCCAAACTAGAGTTCCAACTCTGCATCCTTGGGGGGGGGGGGGAAGCTTTCATCACACATCAGCAAAGATCAGAATTTTCCCCAATCCACAAGGCTTTAAAACAAGCTTTGACAACAAAGTTTTTCTAACAGTCGATGCTGTTTTAGTTCTTCATTGTCATTCTGGGAGAATCTTTAAGATATTGTTGCTAGAAAATGAAGAGTTAAACTTTGCCTTTCAACAGAATAATTCCTCCTGTTGTCTTCACTGATTTAGTGGAAATTTTAAAGCTTCATTGCTATGCATCTCTATGCAGCGATTGTCATTCAGTTTTTTTTTCTTATGTTCAATCCTGTCTGATTCTCAAAGATTGCCTGCATAAATCCCTGCAGATTTCTTGGCAACTTTTATCAGTTGTCATTGCCTCCTTCTTAGGGCTGAGAGAAAGTGACTGGCACAAGGTCACTCAGTTGGCTTTGTGCCCAAGGAGGGACTAGAATTGTTGGTCTCCAGAGCACTAATTGCTATACTAGTATACTCCTTTTGTCAATACGCAACCACAATACCCTAAGGTTTAATAATTAAACTGATAAACTAGGATCACCACATATTTACTTAAAATATTTGATTTTGTTTTTTAAGACATTTTGGGCAATAAATCTCTTCAAGTATAGACATTTCTATGTATTTCTTTCTTTCCTCCTATGTTCAAACCCTACTCCCCACCTTCTATTGCTCTTAGAACTTAAAGTAGCCACCATTGTTATCAATGAAAAATGTTTCTAGTTGTAGTATGTTTGGGTGTGTGAGTAAATTAATGAAGGAATATAGCACAAATGCCTCTCTGCATAGAAAATATTAAGGTAGGACATATATTCATGGTCAGTTATCCCCATCCGCCTTGCTCACTTCTACTGATCATGAGACAGAAGCAACCTGATATCAATTAGCCTTGATTTGAAATAATTCCTTGTAAGTATAAGAGACATTGATTCTTCCTAGTCTGGTTTCCTCTCCTATGTCTTGTTCTACAATTATAATCATCTTTAGCTAGTACTGTCATTGTCCATATTGTTTAGAAATTATGAGATGAGCAGTCAAACACATCTTAGATGAGATAGCATACTGTACATTATTATGTATTCTGGTTAAAGTTGCAGACACTATGAGAAATTTGTATGCAAGAATCACTAAATTATGGAACTCTGGAATAATCTTACCAACAGAGTATTAGTCTTACTTGTACTGAATTGACTGAAAGTGAGATATTCAGTGACATCTTTTATTTACTTTTAACTTCACAAAATTTCTTCTTCCTTCTTTGTTTTAGTCTTTCTGTCATAGAAGTCACATTTATTCACTACAATAGTTTGTAATTGAACCATAGTGTTATTTTTTGCAAAATTCTCAATGCAGTTAAATTAGATTATTACATGGATATTAAAGAAAAAACTGATCTATACAAATAGATGTTGTTAACTCTGGGTTTTATATTATTTCAACTCTGAAGAATATAAGATTGAATAATATGGAACACTACAGCAAATAAATAATAAAATTCCCTTTTAATATCTGAAAAGATCAAGTTGCTGTTTAAACTGAAACAAATTAAGACATAATCCAAAGAATGAATAGTCTATACTAGACAGTCCAAAGAATATATTTTTTTTAATTGCTTGTCTGAGCATTATGAGAAATTTTATGTGTGTAACTTAAAAATTCTGGGCTTGTTTATTCTTGCCTACTTGGCTAATTTATCTATTTATCAAAATACTTAATTAGGGAGAGTGACAAATGTTATTTCTTCAGTCATTCTTGGTGTCTAACTCTTACACCCATACATCATTATCAGGAAGACCATTTTCTAACTAACCTGCTTTTTGTATTTATATCAATATCTCTGCTTTGCCAGATCTTATTCATGTTAACCATTATAGCGTGGCCTAAGGTTATCCTACATTTGGTTTCAGGAGTAGAACTGCCATCGTGAACAATTTTTGATACAAGGCAAATGAACTAATTCAATTTCCTCTTTGTTGATTTTATACAACTCATGTCCATCTGCAGCTGTTGTCATTATCTTTGTTTTCCTGATAAGACTCAATCCTACTTTTTCACTTTTGTCCTTGATTTTCCAGATCATTTTTTCAAGGTGATCCTTATTTTCAGCCAATAGCATTATATCATTTGTGTACCTCAAATTATT